CTTCCTCCTCCTGTTCTTCCTTTTCTGGACTCTTTGCAGGAGATTCCTTGTCCTCTTCCTCAGCAGACTTTGATCTTGATCGCTCTTTTTCTTTGGACTGTGAGCGTGATTTAGACTTGCGTGACTTGGAGCGTGACCGTGAACGAGATGAGGAATGGTGGCGCTTCTTTGGAGATTTGGAACGTGACTTGGAGTGGCTGCGTGAACGTGAATGACTTCTGTTACAATCAGGAAAAACTTATTTTTATTTCATTGAAAAGTTCAAGATCCCGGAAATCTCCACACTATTTGGGTGCTCAATCTTAGCTAGAGGAAGAGGACTATCGTAAGCAGATGGAATAACTGAACCCCACATGGTTGCTAAGCAACATTGCTCAAATGATCAACTGTTTTCCTATTGTTCAGCAAGGTAAAGTTCTTGAGGATTTACAAGAGTTAACAAAAAATGTGGCAACTATTGCTATATTACTCTTTCAGGTCTCAAAACACCCATTTGGACAATCATACTATACCTCTTTTTTCGTTTTGGAGAGCGAGATCGACTGCGGCTGCGTGATCGTCGTGACGTTCTGACCTTTTCCTAGTATAAAAGAGAAAACAATAAAACTACTGCCTAATTAACAAAGGAAAATTACGAACAGCTGCTGTAACAATTGACTGATTGCAGTTGCACGATCTTCATGACGTTCTGACCTTTTCCTAGTTAAAAGAGAAAACAATAATAAAACTACTGCCCAATTAACAAAGGAAAATTACTTAAAGCTGCTGTAATAGTTGACTGAAACTTCTTACCTTCCTATTAAAGCTACATGTACATGATCATCAAAGGTCTACCATGTTCCTCTGTACAGTTTGGTTCACGCCAGAAATTGAGTGTTTTGTACCGAGTTAGAACAGAATGAGGGTAGAAGTTTAGGAACACTTCCATATTGAACACTTTAAGACTGGTCTCCAAGAAAACAGTTAATTTTTTTCCCAGGAATCTTGAGCAATGTTTCCTGGAGCAGACTTTAGACAGGAAACAGTTTTATTGTTTAACTACATGACAAATAATATTGTTACTTTGTGTATCAGAATTAAGGCCTTACTATTTTGAGACGGATACGCTTGCCATTCAATTCTGTATCATCAAGTTTTTTCAAAGCTGCCTTCATGTCTTCCTTGCTAGCGAACTCCACAACTCTAAGGAAAGATACACAATAGTTAACTACTGGAAGTATGACAACAATGATATTTAAAAAATAATGCAAGCCGTATTCAACTGAATATTCAACTTGATTTGTTAGCACAATCAAAATCATTTCTGTCATTCCTGAGTTTGCATGCATTGGAAAAGTATGAAAATGTATTGCAAATAACCCAAAATTGCTGAATTGTGGGCACAGACATGCTTGTACTTGTACTTGTACTAGTATTTCACAAATGGTAGTTTTTTTTAAGAAGCTGCATCCCTGGACTTTTTTCAACAGGGCCATAGCTAGAAACAGACATACTGAGGCCTCAGTTATTTCTTTTCTTGTTGTTGTTGTTGTTTTTTTTTTATAGTCATCATAAACACTCTAAATCTGAGGAAGAGAATTTAACCATAGACATTGCCTTGGTCATAAATTTCTTCTGGCTACAGCCGTGTTCAACAGAACAATATGTACACAGCCACACAGACAGCACAATAAAAATACACACCCTTCTCCCTGCCTTCTCTTGTGAGCATCTGCAAATGTGACTTCTCCTGCTTTCGAAATATACTCCTTCAAATCCTGAAAGAAACTTCACCTTCACTTCATGTATTCCTTCAAACCACTGTATAAACTACAGTAGTTAGGAAGACAGCAAACCACTACGGCAAGGTTCACCCTTCGTGTTAGTGCCCAGTAAAATCTAACTGCCTAATCACAATGTTGTTCTCAGCAATTCTGTATCGGTATTGTTCCATCTACAAGGGCTGCCTCATCTGTGAGACTATCCCTCACTAATAAAACTACTCTGTGAAAGATAACATTGCAGGATTGCTTTAGAAACTATGGTCCGAATAATCAAGTCTTGTAACTTTGACAATGCTGAACCCTATCTCATGAGGAGTTCTTTGGTTATTACTAAGCCTACAAATCCTACATTTTAAATTCGCAAATTACTTTCTTCAGTTGCCATCAATGGATCACCAATCTCGAAACCGTGATACTTACCTGTCCAATAGTCTTTAGCATCAATTTAGAGAATCATACTTTACAAAATGGAAACGGAATGTGGCTGACGTGCAGTGGTGGCCAACTGTTAGACTAAGCTCAGGTGAGAGAGAACTCACACGACGGTCGGACAGCCACAATAGTACTAACTTAAGCCCTGAATGTCTGTTTGTTGAGGCAAGGTTCGGAATGGAAATTTAACATGGCATGGTACGCAAACATCTTGGCACTTGCTGCTATGGTTGGTTGGGTAGCAAATGTCAATCAAGGTCAGATAGTGCACTCCTGGATCAAGCTCAAAATGCCGTCTGACTGAGTGACCGACTGATTAGGAGTAGGGCAGGCGTACTGGCTAGGACATGGCATAGATAGGTTTGGACATCTATAGATCAAGAGGTGGTGATCATTAAGTTATTTTTTTTAGAAATCATGATAACACCACATCATACCAATTGAAACGAGTTTGCTTTTACTACAATATTGCTACACGAGTGAAAGTTGATTTGAAGAATATACTTGATTCTATACTTCTAAGGTGCAGACAAACACAATGCCTTTTAAAAGAAAAATTTCTCGGGAATAATAATTGTCATCCTTGAAAACAAGATGAATAAGAAAAAAACACTTCAGAATTTTGAACCCCAAAGCAAGATCAAATGTCAGTCTTATAAGCAAGAAACTTTGAATACCTCACTGCCTTGTGACCCTTCAACAGACATAAAAATTCACAACAACAAATAACCAAACATTCAGGTAACTAAAACGAACCTGCCAGTTAATCCGTGAAGAGAGATTTTCCACAGCAAGCCTGTGCTCTGTTCTCAGTGGGGGTGTGCGGCCTCTTCTCTGAGTTCTACTGCTGCTAAAAACAAGTTAAATGCAGTTTCATGTTAAAACTTTCACTCCTTTGTCGAGTTTAACCATTCAGTTTTCATGGGCAACTTCGGTCAACTTTGTCTTTACAATATAGCTGTATGCTGTCAAGTAAACAATATTCCCTGATACAGTGACAGCTTCATGCTGCTCAAGACAGTCTCATGCTGCTAATAAGTATTCTGAGAATTACATGTGACAGTAACTAAGGAGTTTTTTGCATTCGAAATGGCAAGGCTGCTCATTCACTGAAGATTGTTTCACTTCCCTGCCCAGAGAACAGTGAGCAATAGGAATTGGTACTAAGGCACTCTTCTAGGAAATTCTCGATTATTTTGGATGAAAACTTCCAGAAGTCACTAGCTCAGACAGTGAGTGTTACCATAAGAAAATTGTCAAGCCTAGCACAGCTTTGGAGCACCTGGACCTACTCTTACAAATGGTACAAATCCATAATCCCTCTGCAGTGACAGGGTATTTTCTCTGTCCCTGCAAGTTTTTCAGCCTAGATGAAACTCACGAACCTCCAGTTATTTCATTTACAAGTACTTGTTAGTTAAATTTACCTGGGTTGGCTTCGGTAACCGTAGTCCATGGTTCTGGATGGATTTCTTGCATGTTCAACAACAACTCTGAGATTAAAGAAAAGCAAATTCATGAACTCCACATTATGACACCCCTACATGTGTAGTTGCCAGAGCATAACATATATGAGACATATTATGAGCAGGAAAGCAATTTTGAGTCGGGCCTGTCAAAATGTCCTGGAAGTTGGCAAATTTCCTGCCTACACTAAATTACTACCGTAATCGTCACACTGTAGTTAACTTATCCTGATTCATAACAAATCCACCTCTGGCATTTACTCCCTTCTAGCTCCATTTTCCCACCTTCCTTTACAAAACATAGACTTTATCACAGCTTTGGATGTCATCTTGACGGGTAAGCAACATGCTTCAGAAACTACAGTGTATGAGAATTCAATGGTAAATAATTTTCTTTCTGAACAATTTAGGAAAAGCAAACTTAAGATAATGGACAAAGGATTGAAAGGCTGTTGAGGAAGCAGTAAGTTTACACAGTGATATCCCATTACAATTATGCTTATCTCGTCTATTTCGCAAACGGAAAGTTTCCTTACGACAATAAGACAGACAGAAAAGCAGTCTTCCTTAACGCACGCTTGAAGAACGAGAAAAAGACAGTGTTTTCACTCTAGCGAAGCAATACTAAAGTTAGACTCTGGTAAGCTTTAATTTTTAATACAATCTTGATTTCTTAAACGAGACGTGAGCAAACTGAAACTAACATTTTCTCGTAACTGACACTGCGTTTTAAGACTGAAATAAGCAGTATGCATGCAGGTAATTCTCAAGCAGCGATGGTGACTTGAACTCGAGTTGTAATACTGAAGGTTTATTTTAAAGGCAGCATTTCCGGAAGAATGCTTATCAAGCTAACATCGATACATGTGAATCTGGTTTAATGATCGCGCCATGGATAAGCTGTGAAACTATGTTCTAGAACATCGGTGTCTGTAGCTAAAATTAAGCTTAATTTTGAAGATCTTTCAATTAGCTTACCTTTCCCCTAAAAGTTCTCTTCCATTTAAGTCATAAACACAGTCATCAGCGTCTCTTGGATCTTCGAATTCCTTAGCAACGGCAAAGATCGAAGAATTACAAAGTTAGTTAAGAGACTACAGTCAGGAAGTTTCGCAATCAATTTTCTTCGTTAGCTTACCACAAAACCATATCCAAGTTTGATGCTAACTTCGCGCACTCTGCCAAATCCGCGGACAAATCGTTCTAGATCTCTCTCCCTTGTATCTCTAGGAAGCCTTCCGAAGTAAACTCGTGTGCCGCCACGAGACATTTTTCGTCACTTAAAATTTCGTGAACGAAAAAAAGAAGCTTACTCACAAACTCCCACGAACAAAATGGCGATTCACGAGGAAGCTGTACATGTGAGGAACGCCGATGTCCCGGATGAACACGATGGTAGCCGCTTTGATGTGCCGCTTTGTATCTTTACGGGCTCAGAGGCGGTCAAGTAAAAGGGGCCAAGCAACCGCCCTTTGACGCGCATCAAAAACCCGG